TAATCTGGGCAACTTGATTTTATGCCAAGCCAACAGCCAAAACGGACACGTGTTTGGTGTATCAATTTTTCACTTTGATACTCAATGATTTTAGTTAATTTGCATACTACGAAGGACAAACTAATAGCCATTCGATGTGCTGAAATCGTAGGCGAAATTCTTTAAGCGGCCACGAGTCGCGATATATATTTCAATAAAAATAAGGGACTCGATGCTACCGGTGGTGAAAATCGTGCGTATATCTGCGTGCTGTCGTCGACCGGAGCTATCCTGGCTGGTACACACGACAAACGTTATAATATGCATGATGTACCCTTTACAATAAACAGTACACGCACATGCAATTGAGCCTGGAATGTGTCTCTTTTCTCATTATAGCAATACGCAATATGACAACGACGACGATGAGGACTGTACGCGACTATAAGAGTCAAGTATGAGGACGTTGCACAAAATCATAATATAGGTACACGCGTATACATGTACGTAAACAAAAGCTTGCCGCGCTCGCTCAATGACGAACAATAGACCGACGGTGAAAGCGCGTCACCCGCGAGTACATTACAGCCAGAAGAAAGAGACACATTTCTCTCGTTCTCTCTTCTGTATATAGCGTGCTGTATGGACTGTATGGAGGAAGTACAGAATACGAGCGTGGGCCAGTCTCGAATCTTTACAGTGCTGTTTTTCTTTTGCTGTCTCTCCTCTTTCCCCCTCTCTCTTTCTTTCTTTTCTTTTTCCGATATAATCGCGAGAAACGTACATACGTGCACGCGTTTCAGGATGATGATACCGTGTATATAGATATGCGCGCTTTAACAGTAGCAGTAGCAGAATTGCGGCTTACTCTTTACCTTCTGACTGACTTTTCCACAACGAGCAAGAGAAATAGAAAAAGAGAGGTCAACGAACTCGCGCGGGCACACACGTACTCTCTCTCTCTCTCTCTCTCTCTCTCTCTCTCTCTCTCTCTCTCTCTCTATCTCACGTCTTTTTTCCGCAGCTTTCAGAATTTTTTTCGCAATATAGCTATGCGGATATAAGCGCCCTTCGTAGGCGGTGCATGCACCCGCACACACTTACTCCGACAAAACACGTATTTATGTACTCTCGCGGGTTACTTTTTTGAAAGTGCTCGAGTAAGGTAACTACTCTACGTTTCCGTATACTAACTACACCCGGTGCAGCAGTCTTTCAGCGGTATGAAGAAAACGAGCTGAAAAGTGAGAGCAAAATAGCAAGTAGCAAAGCAGCGCTTAGCATGTGTCCAACTAGCGGGCAAGTCTATATAGTCATGCTGTACCTAATAAGAGACACTGAAAATTTCTCGTATCGTACATCGAGACAGATCAAATTAGAAACAAACACTAACATACCTGATTAGGATCGCTGAAAAGTAAAATAGATCAAATTAGAAACAAATCTCACTGACCTGATCGGGATCGCTGAAAGAAAAATAGATCAAATTGAAACGAAAACTTACTTACCTACTAAACAGCCGAGGCTGATAAACATGCTAGGCACCTAATAAACTATTTATACATTTTATATCAAGTCGAAAAATTACATAGAAAATAATATTTGTACCATTTTTTAATATAATATTTTAATGATTTTTAATCAATAAATTCATTTTCATTTCAGAACATGATGAATAGCCCACAATCGACAACTGATGATATGCCTGATTTAGTCTCAAAACATTTAGGCGAGACTTTTAATGAGGATCTCGAGCAGGAAAACAAGCAGCTTCTGCTTGCTCAAAATTTGACGCCTCTGAAGCCAATAAAGGAGATACGATTGAGGGAGAGGATAATACATTTTCTCGCCATTGCCGTCCCCCGCTCAGAGTTAAAAGGAAGGATAGAGGAAGAGGGCATAAAAGAGGGCGAAATAAAGGCCTCCAACGCTTTCCTGGGTTTCGTTGTTTCGAATTATCCAAATCGAAAATCTGATGTCAAGAAAAATTTATGAAGTGAGATCAACTTAAACCGGCCTTACTATAAGGAAGAGGAGACGCTTCTTGTAAAGAAGAATAAAGAGACAGTTACTGCTCCGCCTCCACCAAAGGATCACAGCGCCAACATTAGTAGTGAAAGTGGAAAAACAACCAACTTGATGCAGGTCAGCTCGTCTGCAGAAAAAAGTGCTCCACAAAAACGTGAAGCGAGCACCGATTCAAATTCCAATCCCATTAAAAAGCCTTCTTATGAACGTCCAACCTGTAATCCATCGGAAGAGAACAAAGTGTTCGTTCCACCAAAGGATCACAGCGTCAGCAGCAGCAATAGTGAAAGTGAAAAAAAATCCGAGTTATGTTTCATAAGAAGGGCCTGTACCGTATACCACCTACCAGCTTACAGGAAATAGCGGAAATGCAAAGGGAGGCGCGGCATAGAGATATGCTACTTTCTTAGCTCAAGTCGATGCCAGAAGACCAAAAGACGAAGAATACAAAGAGGAAAATAAGGGAAAGACGGTCGATAGTTTAATCGAAGCCTACACCATTGCCATCGCAGCCAAAGGACATTAGCTTACCTAAAACATGTATTACTTTTACTTTGCCTGTCCGTATTAATAGATTTTAACCTGTAATCATACACCGGCTACAGCATGACAGGTTTATTTTTTTCACTGACAGTTACGCAAAAAATGCGGTAAAAACAAACTTCAATAAATCGATTAAAAAGGAAAGGCAACTAAAAATGTAAAAACTTGAACATTGAAAAAATAAAATGTAAATATAAATTGTAAATATATTGATTTTTTTGTTTTATAAATAAATAAATTATTATTCAATTTAAAAGTTAATTTAACATTTTTTGTTTCAATCCGCCTTCGATTAATTGGTTAGATATGATAGTAATGAAATCAAATACATTGCGACAATTATTTAGCATAACCAAAATTTTCATTTTTCAAACTGTAAATCCACGGTAAGTTTGTAATACAATAATTAATAACATCATTGTTAAAAATCATAATAAACTTAATTTTACTTATGATTCTACTTGCCTGGCCGCCTCGATAAAATTTTATACGAACCATACAATATCATGTAGTCTATAATTCTCACTACATTTTTTTGGACGAATAGCTATAAATATTTTCATTTAAGATCTTGAAAATTTTCGTTTATATGATGAGCGTGGAGGAACGCTCTCGTCTGCCATAAAATACTTGACGTTCGGAGCGTGACACGCGCTCCTCGAAATTACCTTTCAACGAATGTCCTCGCCAGGTTGAATCTTTTTCGAGCGACCATCGAACGTAGCGACTATCATGCAAATCGATCGATGGATTCTTCACATGTCATTAATATAACGTATATTAAAGCTCGCGCAAACGATCTCCGATGGAAGAGAGGCAAAGGGGCAAAAAAAAGCAGAAAAGTACGATGGTGATTTCCTGCGTACAGAGTGTTTGAGTCCGTCATGTCGATAGACTAACAATTAGATATGCGCGCTCGATGCCTATACTAGATGGGCTCGTTCGAGCGAGCCTGTCAAAATGATTGCGATCCGGTTCTCTCTTCTGCGCTGATACACATATAATCAAGTAAAAGTTCGCTGGTGCGCTAAATAACTAATATCCATCGAGTCTCCTTGGTGCCTATATAAATACACAGGCTAGAGTTTAATCGGGCATTCTGCCTGCTGCTGCTCCGTATAATAGCACATTGGCCTGGCGCGATCGCAAGTCCAGATTTCACCCCCGCGCCTAGTACAACAGTATATTATATGAGCGCGTCCAGCGTAAGTCGGCCACCCCGCGCGATTACGGCATTTTTGGCCGAAAGTGTCGTATGTTTAGCTCGCTCGGAAACGTTTACCAAGAGTTAGAAAAAAATCCAAACACATGGATCGATCGATTTTTTCCTCCTCTTTCTAGTGGTGTAACTCAAAAAATTCTTAAAAATTGATTTTGAGGTTAAAATTTGACATGAATGTTTAAGTCGATTTATCCAAAAAATGTATCCTCCGAGTTCAATTTAAGTTGTACCAATCGAAAGAGGAGGCAAAATCTATCGAAAACGATGTTTTCCAGGATGAAGAAATGATAAAAATTATTAAAAATATCGAGATGAATGAGCGCGGGTCAGCGCGCGCGGACCTGTTTTCCTGTCTTTGTCTTTTCGACTCACTCAAAAAATGCTGGAAAAATAATGTTAATACATGAATCGATAGATTTTTTTCTTCTCTTTCTGATGGCGTTGTTGAAAAAATTCCCAAAAATTTTTTTCATAGTCGAAACTCGACTTGAATTTTGAAGTCAATATTTCTTCAAGTATTTCAATTTTGACCTCAAAATTAACATTACCAATCGAAAGATGAGGAAAAAGTCTATCGAATTACGTGTTAAAATTATTTTTCCAGCATTTTTTAAGCGATTACGAGCGAGTCGAAAAGACAAAGACTCGGCGCCGCGCGTGTGCCGCCGCTGGCGCACGGAAAACAGGTCCGCGCGCGCCGTCCCGCGCTATTCATCTCGATATCTTTAATAGTTCTTATCATTTCTCCATCCTGGAAAACATGGTTTTCGATAGATTTTTGCCTCCTCTTTCGATTGGTACAACTTAAATTGAACTCGGAGGATACATTTTTTGGATAAATCGATTTTAACATTCAACTCGATATCTAACCTCAAAATCAATTTTTAAGAATTTTTTAAGTTACACCACTAGAAAGAGGAGGAAAAAATCGATCGATCCATGGTAAACGTTTCCGAGCGAGCTAAACATACGATACTTTCGGCCAAAAATGCCGTAATCGCGTGGGGTGGCCGACTTATGCTAGACGTGCTCATATATCGAACAGACAGAGTCGCGCGCGTGGTCTTTCCTATATGTCGATGCATTGTACAGGATAGTATGCATGTGATCGTGCGTATATGGCTGTGTGCAGGAGCATCAAATGCAACGCGCCCCAAAGTGGGGTACGTAACCGAGCGGCCGGCCCTGGCGCGCTGGTAGCCATCCCGTAGTCCTACACATATCCAGCATGGGTGTGTATTTAATGCTAGTCTATGGTGGTGCGTATGTGCGCGTGAGCCTGCGCAGAGTCGTCGCGAGCGGCGGCGGCGGCGGTGGCGGACGAGAGAGCAGTAAAACACACGGCAGCGCACAGCCGATAGCATGCTACAAAAGTTCAGTCGGGGTGCGCGCATTCGCCCGATTAAAGCTACTATATACGTGTATAGAGACAAGTTCGGGTAGGCGAGCGGGGTGGCTGTGTGTACAACGCGTATACGGGTTTATTGGCTTTTGTTGTCGTAAACCACCCCTAACTCGCAGGACACTCGAGCTGCGTACGAGTTCTCGTGTGTGCCGTTGTTCTCGCGATTGCTGCTGGCCCTACATATTCATAAAGTGTGCGTCGCGAGTGTAGTACATCGTAGTGCATATAATACAAAAAATGAAATCCAGCTCGTCGTACTCGTGAGCCACGCCGCGAGTGGGAGGAGTGCAGTGCTTTAAAAGTGGCGTTTTGCGTGCAGCAGAGGGCCTGCGGGCCGCCGCCGGCATCGACCGCTAGCAACGGTGCGACAAGCGGCAGCAGCAACAGCAACAACAACGATGCCACCGAGAAGTCGAACGCGACAAAAAAAGCCGCGCTCGTAGCGTCGGCTGCTGTTATTCAACGTCGCCTGAGCATCGGCGACGTCGAAACCAGCCATCGTGTCAAGGGATGCGGCGCGAACGACGAAGCCACCGCGGAGGCCGACGACGACGAGGAGCAGCTTACGGTAGACCCGACAGAGCTGGTGCTGACGAGGCACAGGATGCCCGTTAACGCGACCACCGCCAATGCGTCCGTACGCGGCTCGGTTTCGGCCTGCTCGAGCCCGAGGGCTAGTGTGGTGAGTCCAACGACGTCCTTTATTCCCTCCTTGCGCATTTTTTTTTTTGCTCTTTTTTGCGAACTCGTGCGCGCACTTGGCAATTGACTTCTTTATCGAGGTGTGCGAACGCAAGGGTGCGAAAAGACGTGCCTGTATATAGAACTTGTGTAAGGAATAACAACGCCTGTGTCGCAGAGGGCGTGCTTTCGGTTGGCTTTTTCCCTTTACTCGAGAATACTATATATCTACTACTTCTACTACTACTGCTGCTACTACTGTTGCTACTACTACTCGACGCCCGCCGCCGCCGCCTACTACAACTACGGCTCCTATATCTATTCATGAACTTTTTGTTATCTAACCCTTGCATACCTGACGAGCGCTCGCAATCACGTACGAACAATAAACGAATCGGATTTTTCATTCGTGATTTCGTTCGTATTATTTTTCGTTCGATGTGCACTGCATTGTACTTGCTTTTGCAATTTAAAACGAGCAAAGCGATATTCAAGCAAGAAAATTTATTCGTGGTATAAGCTTAATTTTGACTTAAACAGATCATGATTGTATATCTTGACAAATGAATATTTTCATTAATATCGATAAAAGAATTCATAATTTTTACTTTGAAATCTAAACAGAATTTCGATCAGTTCCCGGCGTTAAAAATTTTTTCTCCGAAGTTCAAGTTAAATTTTTCACTCGCGCAATAAAAAAAACTAAAAATAAAATTTTAAAAAGTCCTGTAACATCAATCGAGATAAAAAATGATGAATAAACAATTTCAATAGATCGGCTTATCGACGAAATATTACTTTGTAATATACACGCGTGCATATACTATCTGAATTATTTATTTTCTCAGTGCAGAGGGCAGATATTTTTATCGAGTTTATAGTATATGCCCTATTTCGTGATCGAGTTGTGTGCAAGTACATGAAAAATGACTGCAATACTGTATACGAACATCAAAATTTGGCATTATACATCGCTGAAAGTAAAAAATGCGTACATTGCATGTATATACGAATTGTTATCATATGATTATACCTGAATTCAAATAATACTAAACTAGTTGTGCGTACAATTTTACAAACTATTTTTTCTCTCAATGCTTTCATTCGAACGTATGACTCGGCGGTCGTTAAAAATCTGTCATAATTTTCTAAACGTGAAAGTCAACATTTCATCACGTATGACGCGATCGGCATGTTGACGTTACGTGTCAAAAAGTCACACGGCAATTAACTCGTTTCAAAAATATTTTAATTCCAATGAATCTTTACCCAAACACCGGTATGTATATTATAGAAAATATCACGATCGACAGTGTATGGGTAAGAGCTCCAGACTCATCGAAAACTCCACGAAGCCACCGGTCGAGCGCGTACCGCACGACAAATTGTCATTCAGATTTGATACCCGTATGCCTGCAGTTTATATCCGCTGGGGATTGGATGGTCGCCGGAGTCAATTAATAAGTGAACTTGCCATTGAACCTTGGCAATATTTCCGCAGTCACCGATTATAATTAAATTAATATACGCTAGTACCAAAAATAACTCATGGAAAAAAAATTCATGTCTGCGGCTTGACGAGTTGATTTCAGAAAGGGAATGATAATGCGCGGATATGGGCGTTGAAAGGCAACTCGTTTCATTTATATATAGAGGTACACTTGTGAATGCAGAGAAAGAGAGGTATAGAGAAAGCGTAGCAGGCGCGTCTAAACTAATTATTATCTCGCTCGCGCAGTCGGTTTTGGACAATCAATTAAGGCTCCCTTCGTCTCTCTCGCTCTCTTATTATACAGCGACAAAACGTGGAATCAGCCAGAAGCAGCTCTCTCGAGTTATATAGCATAGTAATATACGTTACGCCGGGTTAGAATTTGCGAGTCTGGTAATATATATATAGCAATCGTGTTTATCATACGCCACAGGGCGTGAAAACCCTCGAGGCGTCGAGCATTTGATTTCCAACTTCTTTTTTCTCATTATACTGTACTAAACGCGATACGCGAGATATTATAAAGTCATTTCGACGGCGCGAGGCCTCGGGATTTAATTTTCGACACTTACACGCAGCACTCGCGCAACACAAACTTTTCGCTCGCAATTATCGTGATTAATTTGAATATTAGCACCTTGGCGAAGAGAAAACGCTCGAAGTATCTCGCGAGGAGAAAGAGAAAGAGATATGTCGAGTGTCGCTTATCTTTTAAACATGCAGCGCACTTGTGGGATCTATATAAGAATAACGGTGACGATGTATATGCGAATGAGATGACAATTATGTTGTAGCTCCTTTTTTTGACTTTTCGCTCAAGAGTTCAGGTGTATTTGGTGACTACAAAAATTGAAAACAATTAAAAATGCTTTTACTCAAATCACGTTGTTGCATTGCAAAGATCTTGAAAGAAAAGATAATTTTTTTTATCGGATTGCCATTATATCAATTTGAAAATTTGAAAAATTGATAACAATTAAAAATGCTTTTACTCAAATCACGTTGTTGGATTGCAAACATCTTGAAAGAAAAGATACTTTTTTTTATTGGATTGCCATTATATCAATTTGGATAATTTTTGTTAGCGTGTTTTACGGCAAAAAGTTCAATTTTATCGAATTTCTAATTATTCGTTAGTCAAAAAAGGATAGTTACCACTTTGATTCTTTGCTGTAATTATTTATTTTTGAAATGTTTTTATCTCCAAGTGTACAAAAGTTTACATGATAAAATAAGTTACATTTAAATTATAAAATGACTGTATCTCTTATTTCACGAATGATATATTAGAAAACATCGTATGCAACTACTGCATGAGGTAGATGATTTAGCCAGAAGTCATTGTTTCCTAGAAAAACGAAAGCCTCCAGACAACGGGACAACAAACAAGCTAGTGTACGGCGTTGTCTCAGAGGAACCCGACTATTGTCTGCGCGAAGCTCTATCGTCAATAGAGTGCGGGATTAATAATAGAAAATATACACGGTAACTATATATGATTCGGGCTGAAGTCTCTTATCTCGAATAACTGCACTTTGCAGCTTTTTGCGGAGCACCAATGGAACGTCCAGAAGAATCGTTCGAATAACAACAATCAATAAAAAAAGAACCCACGTAATAATTCGATTAATTTGAGCGAGAGTAAGGAATAAGAGAGGGTGAAAAATGCTCTCTCGAGATGATTCACTGCCGCAAAAAAGAGCAATCGCACAAATTACTCGAGTGGATTTCTTGGCCGGCGCTCTGAATTCTTTAAATCGATCCTTTCCATCTCTCGTGCAGCTCCGGCTCTCTCTCTCTCTCTCCCGCTTCCACGCCGTGCAGCTATTAAAAAGCTTTTAAAGGGCGTCTGCACGTTTTCTTGATTCCAATCGCCGCGTGTTATATTTATTCAGCATCGAGCTCTGGATCGCAATTCCAATCGCATTCCTTTTATGCCTCAACGCAACGGTAATAAAAAAATGACTATTGCAAAAATTCTCGGGCTCGTTTAAAAAACACAGACTTATATAGCAGACAGATTATAATACTAATAATATCGATCGACTTTGTTTTGTTGGATTTTCAGTCGGCGGAGTCGTCGGAAGAGCTGGTGCGACGACTGCTGGAGCGCGAGCTGCGCCTCTTCGATCTGATCGATCCGCGCGATCTGCGCTCGTACGCCTGGTACCACGGCAGCACCCTGCCCGGCGGCAGGAAGGGCGCCGAGGCCGAGATACCGAACGACGGCGACTTTCTGGTGCGCGACTGCGCCAGCCAGCCGGGCAATTACGTGCTCAGTGTCAGGCACAGAGGCCAGCCGCTGCACTTTGTCATCAACAAGGTATGTGCATTACGACGTATCACTATATTCGTATCGCGGGATCGTATCTATACAGGGGGAGCGCGCATATAGAAGGGGCAGGTACTTGATGCAGGCACGATGATACTCTTGTGTCTCGAATCTCTCCGGGTCTTCTCGATGCCGTGCTATATATACCCGCGTATTATGCAACTCGACGCGAGCATAAAGATGTAAAGAGATATTCGAGTAGACGCGCTGCACAATGAGCGGTACGTCGTACGCTCGAGCTTTTAAAAGCTCTCGTGACACACTTGGCTCGCACAAGACACAGATCTCGAGCATGGATTATGCGAGACGGGAGACGATGAATTTTCCTCTTTCTTTTTCGCCCAGCTTCTTTTTCGATGCGCGCACGATACTAGGTAGATGGAAAATTTTTTCCAGATGATACTGCAGCCGAACACGGTGTACGAGCGCGTGCAGTATCGCTTCGAGGACGAGGCCTTCGACACGGTGGCGGACCTGATCACCTTCTACGTGGGCAGCAAGCGACCGATCAGCCAGGCTAGCGGCGCCCGCATCGTCACGCCCCGTCATCGCAAGGTGCCCCTCGCCTCGGCCTCGGGCTTTCTCCTCTGCCCGAGCGCCAGCTCGTCCTCCTCGTCGCTGTCGACGAGCACCGCGACGACCAACACGAGCCACAGATCGCCGCCCCACGTGCCTCGCAAGAAGGAGCGCAGCATGTCGCTCAGCGGACAGCAGCACTATCAGAGCCCGCCACCGCCCCAGATGATACCGCTGCATCAGATCGCGGCGTCGCAGATGCACGCCAGCGGCAACAATTGCTCCAGGACGCTGCCGCGGGTGCCGTCGTCGATGATGACGTCGAGCGGTGGCCTCAGCAGTCAGCATCTCCAGCACCAGCTCAGCTCCAACGCGATGATGAGCCAGTCGATCTCGTGCTCGCACTCGCTGGATCGACAAAAGATCGGCCGAGTGGTCACCGATCCGGCCCTCAAGTTCCAGCAGCTGCAGCGACAGCAGCTGCGTCAGCTTCTGGACGAGGCGGCCGAGGAGCCGCATTACCAGACGCCGAGGAACAACTCGGTCGTGATACCGGCCGGCTTGGAGGACGATCCTCCGCCGAAGCCACCGCGAGTGCCCAGACACCTGAAGCCGGCGACGGGTAGCGGCGGACCGCCCTATCCGTATCCCGCGTCGTCGCTCGGCAAGGCGCGCCAGGCCTCGGGCAGCGACAGCGGCAACGGCTCCGGCGACAGCGAGTCCAGCAGCAACGGCGGTGGCAGCCTGAACAACGGCGGCGCCGGGGCGTCGGTCGCCTCTCTGCCCATGCAGCCGGCCATGCGCGGCATCATCCTGCGCAGCTATCAGCAGGCCAAGGCCCTGGGCCTCAACGAGCTCGACATCAAGCAGTGGGAGGAGCTCGAGAAGAAGATCATGGAGACGACGCCCAACTTCGAGATAGCCTCGGTACTGGAGCCGGACTTCCAGACGGTGCTGTTGCCCAACGGCGAGCACAAGCCCCTCGACGCGATGGCCCTCAGGGGCATCTCGTGCATGCTCACGGAGACGGCCTCGCGCATACTGGCCCAGCATCTCACCAAAATCGACGTGGACATGCTCTTGAAGGTACAAATATCTCATAATCGAAATATAGCAAGTAAACAAAGATAATAACGCAATGCTTCGCAGGTCTACGTGGAAGAGCCTCCGAGCGTCAGGGAGGGCCAGTGCGGCCTCGAGCTGCTCGTCCAGCCGTACGCGCGCCAGACCCGGCTGGACGTGATCGAGCGCACCGAGTGCCTCAAGCTCGTGGTGGGCGTGACGGTGCTGATCTGCCAGACGCCGGCGGAGCGCGCCGCGATGATCAGCCGCTGGATCCAGGTGGCCATCGACACCAAGACGGCCCTCGGCAATCTCTACGGCTTCTGCGGCGTCATGCTGGGCCTGTGCCTGCCGCAGATTCAGCGACTCGCCGGTACCTGGCATCTGCTCAGGCAGAAGCACACCGACGAGGCGTTCACGTTCGAGGCCAAGCTGAGGCCGACGCTGCGAGCCATGAACGAGTGCACCGATCCGCAGGCGCCCAACACGACCATTCCACACATACTGCCGATCGCCCTGCTCAACGAGAGGACTCAGGACGACGTTTTAGGTTTGCATATCTTTCAATAATTTCGGTTATTACATTGCTTATTTGATCAATTGTTATCTCATTGATTTTTGTTCACTGCAGGCAAGACTCCGCCATCGGCCCTGGCCGCCGCGGTGCTGTCGCCCTGGGAGAACTCGGCGGCCGACTGCGGCCTGTCCATCATGTGGGCGCACCTCGAGGCGTCGCGCAAAATGACCGAGAGTCTGACGCTGTTCCGACGCAACGCCGAGATCGCCCTCGACGGGCTGCGCAGCGACGAGCTCGTGCTCGACGCCTTCCGCACCGAGTTCCAGATGCGATTCCTGTGGGGCAGTCGGGGCTCGGCCGTGACGGCCTCGGAGCGACACGCCAAATTCATCCAGGTGCTCGACGCCATGTACGACAAGTGCGCGGCCACCGAGCAGATATGAATGAATAGGGATGCGGGCCTTCGTTGCTGTTCACTCTTTTTCATCATGATATTAACATCGAGGCGCGTTTAGCGGCGTTTTCTCTTTGCATATAAAAAATATATAATATATCGTTGTGCGTATAGCGGCTTTTCGAGGGAATTCGATGCAGTCAAATCAAAGATCCTCGAATCTAATAAATGGCTATAAACTAATCTAACTAATTGCTGCGTGCAGTGTATCGTATATTATAATAATATTATATATGAGAATCAAACTTGACTCGAATTCGCTTAAAAAGCCATTCTATATGCATGTCGTAGACGAGGCCAAAAAAAATTCAAAATAAACCGCAGTTATGTAGCTATATCACGTATACACACACACCACACGTTTTGTATATCTAAATATAGCTCCCAAAAAAATTGTTTACATATAATAATTATACAAATATAAATAAAAATATATAGATATATATTATAACTACTAAAAAATGCAATTTACAGCGACGTCTTCTACTGCCAACATGTTGTGTAACGTAACGAGCACTAAAAGTATTTTGCAGTCGAAAATTCTTGAGAGTTTATAAAATCGGGGTGTACGTCGATAAGTACTGAAAACGAACTTTCATTGTACGCACGAACACTATATCTTGAATGCAGTGTCAAAAAAAATGCCCCAAGCTTTTTCACTTGTATTTGTGTACTTTTATAAAACTGCGATGCCCGACCTGTCATCCTTTCGATTTCGAACGAGTGCATTTTTTATACATTTGTACATATTATGCATTGCCCAAACTGAAAGCGCAATTTCTCAATGCAAAAGTTGGAAGATAAATAAAATATACATATTGCTCACATCATAATCAAAAGTATACGTACTACACATACTTACACAGCCACACAATGGAAAAATTTGTAAATTGCCATTTTTTTCACCAGTCTAAAAAGTTTTTATCCTGAACGATACAATCATTATTGCAAGAAATTAAAAGAAGAAAAAGAACTCATAATTTAATTCCAGTTTATGAATGTGATTCGAGATATGTAATGCATTTCGTCCTAAGTGCAGTTATCGACATAATAAATGAACAATTTTCATGTTCTTATTCGAGTGATTTTTACATTGAAATGCATAGATTTATATTGGACGTGTAATAATATTTATATTATTATTATTATTATTATTATCATTATATCATTGTCAGGAATCATGACAATGTATAAGAAAATTATTTGAAGAGATTATTAAACATACAGCTACATCCAGAGAAACCAATCTACGTAATGTGCGCATAAAAAGCAACACATCATACAAAAAAATAAATCAAGCGCTTGAGATAAACTCAATTTTTATGAAAAATTGTACTAAATAATTATTAATAATTGTATACTTAAGAAACAATTGAGAGAGTCAAAAATATAATAGATTCTGCTAAATTTATTATATTGTTCAACGGTGTGAGTCTACAACTCACTTGTATTCAACAGCAATTTACACAAAAAATCATCTCCTTTGTATTCAAATAGATAGCCAATTCATGGAAAAATGCTCTTTTGTTTGAATCATTCCATGCATTTTTTCAATTATTTTAATTATAAAACTGATAATAGTTATGAATAAATCCAGGACATGATTTATTTTGCATTTCAAAAAAATTGTTTATATTATAATTAATTCCCATCAAGTGCGTTGTAATAAATCCACGTTCAACATTGGAAATTGTAATAAATTAAAGTTTATTGTATACACTATGATTCGACCAATATTGTGTGATTGTACCTGTTGTTCACGTTTGTTAGTATCTTATTAAAGAACAGTGAATTCCACTATCATGAGCACAACTGTTGTTTTTCATTTATGCATCTATCAATCATATTCCATCAAATTAATAAAAGTCATATTGATATACATTATCAATAAAAATCAAGCAGTAACTAGGTCATTAAAAAATAATACTTAATTGTGCACTTATTCTTTTCAACAAAAATTCACTGTCTTGTATCTTTTTCAATAAAATTCCTTAATTGAACTGAAACTTTTTTATTAATTTAATCCATTCTTAAAATTATTACAGGAATCTTGTAACAACTTCACTTGTAAACTCTATTGTATTTATTTGAATTAAATTCTATAAATTTTGTAATCATTACAGAGTTACAGATTAGTGATACTTGTAATTCTTATGGTGCTTGAGGCGGTTGTAGTTGAGAACATAGAAAAACACCATTCCACCGACAGCCAACTGGAAGAAAGGAGCAATGCCAGTGCGCTTGGGGTGGACATAATTATGTTGCCAACGCCACCAACATCTTGAGATAGCACCAGCCAGAGCTTGGGGTGTCTTCTGTCGTCTTCCAAACCAGGCACCAACTTCACCAAGTTTCAGGTCGAAGAACTTTGTGTCCTCTGTATAATAAAGAAATGTTTACATGAAATTTGGAACAAAATGATTCAACGTTTTATTATTCACTGCTACAGTTCAATGATCATTGTTGAAAAAATATGCAAGGTTGACCTCAACTGGTATAGAAATGACATACATACAATCTGTGAGGTTAGATTGCACATTCAACTAATAATCGTCATAATGACATAACAAGTATCAAACAGATTCGTAAACAACATGAATGGTCAACACTTGATAAAAACACTGAATCGAACTGGATGCATCGATGCAAAAAAACGTAATTTATTCAATTCATGACCGTCGTGCAAATATCGTCAACCGAAGTGCTAATATAAGAACGATGACTTACGAGGTCCGTAATAACGAGCAGGATCGTATGGTCCGTGCACGGATGGATTGTACTCCTTGGGGTAGTCACCGAAACCCATGATTCCGGCAGCTCTTTATATCAACAAACCAGCAGTAACAATAAATTCAGTCGTTCAACGGATACCAGACATCCGCCATAAAGCAAAGGCCTTTATGTAATCTGAACGAGACTACTCAGCTGACGATTCTCGGGCAGTTGTGCGCTTGCGCGGCAAAGTCGATTTCTTTTTTATCATCGCGCGTAGCGCTGCAGACGACAGATCAGCGAGCTTTACTCGAGTCGCAGAAACGAGATGATGTTCGTCAAAACACAGCAAGTAAATCGAATGTGCCAAGGAAGATGACAGCTCTGACATCGATACCTCTGATCACGAGGCTCTCCGGGAGGGTCATCAGGATACTCGGCTGCAATCCTGGTCCCATGACCTTGCAGGGCACGAATACTTATCTCGTTGGTACTGGCAGCAAGTACGTAGCAACATGTGTGTGTGTGCGTGTAAATGGTATAGATATATGCAGTCACATTGACATAGGATAGGTATTGTCATAGCGAGCTTTCATTCAGCTTTTCGTTATTATATTAGAATTAGAATTGCTTTGTCTCTTTTATAACTGCAAATTGCATTGAATTATTCGTGTTAAAACGTATAGTTAAAATTATTATTCAATGTGGCATGAATCGATAAAGAACAAACGATAAGTAAACATGCATGATTGCGCGAAAAAAAGAAATTAATCTCGTAGTCAGCATGACTTTATAAATTATATCGATGCAGACGAGTACTGATTGATTCCGGCGATGTTGATACGGCCCCCGAGTACACGAAAATCTTGGGCCAGGTCCTGAGGGAGGAAAAAGCGACGATCGAGCATCTCGTCGTGACGCACTGGCATCACGATCACATCGGCGGTGTGCCGGCCGTGCTGGACCTGATAAAGGCCCTGGGCGGAAAATCGGCACTCGCTACCGTCTGGAAGTTTCCGTGTTCTCCTGACGATGATCATCAGCCCGACGACGAGGAATCGGCCGCTCGTTGCGATCCTTTGAAGGTGCAATTGCCGCTTCTAAAAAAATGCGCCTATACTTAAATAATAAATAACTTTGATAACCGAATCTTGGCGCGTGCAGGACGAGCAGAGCATCAGAATCGAGGGCGCGACGCTGCGCGTCAAGCACACGCCGGGGCACACGACCGATCATGCCTGCCTCGTGCTCGAGGACGAGGCGGCCTTGTTCAGCGGCGACTGCGTCCTCGGCGAGACGTCGGCCGTCTTCGAGGATCTGCGCGACTATCTGAGCTCGCTCGAGCGGATATTGCGCGCCGAGCCGAGCGTCATTTATCCGGGCCACGGACCGGTGGTAGCCGAGCCCCGAGCCAAGGTTCTGGCCTACATCGAGAACAGGATAAGGCGAGAGCAGCAGATCGTCCAGTGTCTCGGCAGCAGAGCCGGTCCTTGCGACGTCATGGAGATCGTCAGTGAAATGTATAAGGTAAGCTTGAGGGATTAATAAAAGAAAAATAATTTTTAGGTCTGGTTTATTTTCTGATCAGTATAGATTCATGATGTATTAAAAAAATTTGTTGGTTTTTCTTCTTCAGGATACCCCACAGAATTTGTGGTTTGCTGCAGCTACGAATGTCAATCATCATTTGGAAAAGTTGCTTAAAGAAAATCGGGTCGTTCAGGACGGCGAGAAATGGTTATTGAAAAGTACGTCATCTCTTTGACGTACTGTCACGCAGAGTGGTCAATCCAAATGATCATTAAATTCGTGATGGATTTTGTTACGGAATTGAACTAGATGTTGCATTGTTTTTTCAATTTTTTTTATGGACTACTGTATACTATACAATTAATAACAATAATTAAAGCACTAAAATGTTTGATATCATTCCACATAGTAGTGATTTTTACTATAATTAACAAAGTTTCAATCATGTACAGATGTATGTTACAATTTTATCAAATAAATAAATGTAAAAATGTGGATATGGAATCTCAAATGGGCAATGTATAAAATTTATGAACAAGTCAAAAACGCATATTGAAATCAAAAACCATACGAATAATATAATATTCATGTATGCTGATAAAGAATAATCTTTATTTTGAACTGATGGCTGGATATTGATATGCATGTAATGTAGTACAAAAAAAAGAAGAACGCTCGTTTCAGCTAAACTAAACATTAGCATACAACGTTTAACATTTTCACATAAATATAAAACAGATTCGTCTAATAGTAAATATGGACACTTTTTTTCTATTTCATATAAAAGAATTTATAACAATAACCAATTAAATGCTATATTACTCTTTTGAGTATTAAAAGAAATCGAAAATGTCTGCTGCTATTAAAAAGTATTTTATATAGATAAAAATGTGTCGATGAAACCATTCAACTTTTATAAAATAAATCGAAAACAATTGAAATAAGGTAAAGTTGTTATTCAAATTACTTATCATTATATTTCACATCACGATAAAATCTGTACTCTGAACTTCCATTGTGCTTATTTGTGTAATTAGGTTTAATATGCCTGCATAGATATATAATATTCAATTCATTTTCAATATTCCTTAAAAATATATAACCGGACAAGTTTACAGCTCCTTGTTGAATAATCATAAAAAAAATAGGCATCTTTTCTTGTACTTGTCCGACTGTTTCAATTCTGATGAAATGTTTTTTCTCGTAATCAAAATCATTTTTCCTTAATCTATACATGTGAATGTTAATATTAGTTCAATATTTATCGTTCCTTTCATTTCATGTCCATTAAATCACATTAAAAACGTTGAGTTAAGATCCATTCTGTCGAAAGTTTGTTTTTTACACACTTCTCTTTGTCATTAATTTTCAGCAATTCACATAGAAGTCTTTCAATCACACGTTCACATCCATCACACTATTAACTTGACTGGATACTAGTTAACAAAAAATTGTTATAATCTTTGTCATCAAAACAAACTTAAAATTATCTTACAAAGATTATATGTATATATATATATATATAATACACACAAATACACACTTTTATATGCATATCATGTGTTAATAATAATCATATATGCTCAAACTAATGAAGCAAAAATGTATAACTGAATAACAAAATAATCTAATTTACACAATGGTCTCTATGTAATAGATATTAGGCTGTAATACGGAACATGAGCAGGACTTATAACAAAAATCATTTGCGATTAATGAAAAACTCAATGTCCAGAGTCGATACTACCTTACATAAAAATTTAGTAAACACAATAATTTTTATTCGATAGAGAAGTTGACCAATTATTTTTAAGCACATGTAAAGCTTTGTATATATGCGTTTTTGGTCGTAAAACAGTAGCAAGGCACCCCGTTTCGTTACTCAAGTTGCGACGTGCACGTAATTGTCAACAATAACATCGTTGTGTCCCCCAAAGTCTTTTTTTATTGTTTTTTAACAATTGTAGCCCTGCATATACATCTGCATCTCATCTGCAAAATCTGGAAAAGCTTACGTATACGTTCAACAACTCGTTTAAAAGCCACACTTAACGAGTGCCTATCCAAAGCTTGAATGAATTTTTTTCAATAATCTAATTGAATCTAGAAACTAAAAGATAAAACGAGTGCCAAAACTTTTCGATTAAATTTCAATTTTATAAGATAACATACCATATTGTATCTGTCTGTCTTGGTACAAGTCTTAATTGAAAAATTCTTTCTTAAAGCTTTTTAAATTTTATTTGTCTCACTCATATTTTCATTGCATTAAGCCGTTGTTGATAACGCAATATTAATTTCGAATTTGAATTGTGTTAATTAATTTTGAAGTTTGGCGTAGGATTTCATTGAAATTCGTTGTTTTAACAGAAGCTTATCAATAATTATTGAACGTAGATATTTATATAGTGCCAGGATATTTTTATATACTATATAATAATTATCATGGTCCAATAACATAATCTCTAACGACGTTTTTGAAAAAAGTTCATTTATAAAAAAACGAAGACAACAATGTAATGAATCCAATGCTCAGTTTGAAATATCCGAATCAAAATGGGTGACTTTATTAAAGATAATCTATCTTTAGTAAAATCATATTTTTGTACATATTTAAATTTATTTTACAGGAATACAGTGACGAATCTCAGTCTTCTTGTGAATTTGTCTGTTTAAAATAATTTTTTTCAAGTCTTTGAATAAATCAATCATCAATGTTTTTCTTAACTAATTTTCTTCTGTAACAAATATCGAAAACTAGATAAATAATGTTTTTATAAAAAATTCTCTACGATAAAAAAAATTAAATTTTTGCACCAAGAAACAAAAAAAATTTTAATTCAATTTTTGTTAATCAAACGCCAGGTTCTTAGTCTTATTTTATTACATATGTTATAATTTCATAATACTTCATAACTTAAACAGATTAAATAAAACTAATAAAGAGTCGATATTCAATTATGTACAATTATACAACAGCTTCTTTTCAATTGTTAAATATAAGTCTCACAGAAATAAGTTCGTCTCGAGTATCGCATCATTGCAATATGCATATTATATTATAATAATGCAATTATATTATAATATATGCAAATTCATTAATCAAGAAGAACTGAAATTCGCAGCTGTAGCTCCTCCCAAAAAAATATGCACAAAATAATATTTATACGTATTATCATCAGTATCTTTTCGCCGTTGTTGCATTTTTATTTCAACGACGCTTTAACGCCTGACAGATAATTAAGAAGCAATTTTAGCGTAAGATGAGGCCAATATTATTCGCCGTGAAAACTTCCGCCTCGTTTCACATGAAAATATTGTTATGTGGATCGAAGCAGTTAGAGTTGATATAAGTGAGTATTTCGTGGTCGGTTATGATTTCCATACCATTGTTACCCTGTAGCGGGGGCTTCCTGTCCATCGCCGCGTTAGCCTGACGTACCGTCTGGTCCTGCTCCTGCTGCTGCAGCGGCTCGTTGTTCTGCTGCATCGGCGTCGAAGTCGACGTCGACGAGCTGACAGCCGCGGACTGCTGCATCGGCACAATCGGCACCTGCACCGGCGAGGTCTGGAGTGCCACCTGCATCTTGGTGGGCTGTGGGGGCGCCATGCTCTGATCTTCCATGTTGGTCGGCGACCTCGCCAAAAAGTCACCCATTGCGTCGGTCATCAACTGGGCACTCTGGAAATTTTGAAAATACAGTCAGCAACGAGCGCATAAACAGTGCGAAAAAAAATTAAAAAGTCTCGCAACACTCACCCTCGTGGCGACGTTATTCAATATGTTGGTCGTAGCCATAACAGCCTGAGCAGTGGTAGCAGTAAAAGGCCTGTTAGCTGCAATGATCTCTTGGGTCGCGTTGGTCAGGACATCGCTGATGGCTGCCTCGGCGTGGGCGGTGAGCTGCTGCTGTTTGGGCTCTTGAGCGGCGCCATTGGCCAGTGCAGAGCTCGCCTCTACGACGAAGCCAGCGGGCTGACCCAACATCGAGCTGATGTCCTGCTGTACGGCTTGCTGCATCACTTGGGCTGCCTGAGCATGTTGCACGGCCTGCTGTACAACTTGCACCTGTTGGACGACCTCTTGGGTCGACTGATGAACTGCTTGCTGAACCGCCTGCTGCACAACTTGCTCGGTAGCTTGGACGTGGGCCGTAGGTGCCGACTGTACGGCGGCTACAGCCTGCTGTACCACATGCACGTGTTGCACAACCTGCTGAGCCACCTGTTCTTGGGCCTGTTCGACCACTGCGGCCGCGTGCTGCTGTGCTTGTGCTACTACCTGTTGAAGAGAAATTTTGCGCATTAATTAAAATCGACATGCTTGATGAACAGTTTAACACGTTTGTGGGAAAAATGTACCAAAACCCGGTGGTAATAACATTCGTAAGCATGCAAAAACGGCAAGTTGCAGCTTACCTGCTCAACTTGTTGTTGGGCCTGAGCGACAACTTGTTCAACCTTTTCGTCGATTGAAAAGCAAAGAATAATTAATTTATAAAAATAAGATTGAAAGACAATCAATAGCGACGGCGGAAATTAAAAAAATATTTATGACAAACCTGCTGCACGTGTTGCTCCATGGTGATGGAATCTTGCGCTAACGCCTGCATTGCGTTGACCACTTCGTCGTTCCTCATCTGGGCTTCAGCCACGGACGACGAGACGATCGGCGCACCAGAAGCCGTAACGATCGAGGCTTCGCTTATGGCTGGCAAGCCCATCATCAAGCTATCTTCGGCGGGCGGATTAGGCATGCTGACGTTGCTGACCGCTGCTACCGACACTGCCTCCATGCTAAAAAAATTTTGAGAGGATTAGACGAGGGAGATATTTACCAATGCTCCATATAATTAGAGGATGCATCGAGTATCGATCGAATTTATACAACATTTTCTAATCGCCTTACCTCATAGACTGTACAGTTGAGGTCGGTATGAGACTATTCAGTAACATGTTAGGGGCATTCGGCGACGTGTTGGGCGAGTTGAGATCATGGACGATATTCTCGACCCCGCTTACGTTCGACATCAGAGTATTCGAGGGAGCAGCCGCCGGACCCATCGGATTGACCAGCTGATGCGGTTTGACGCTCGAGCCTGTCACCATGTCGTCGATTGTCGGATTGACCGAGGCTTGAGCGATCTGCTGGTTGTTGGCAATTATTGATGCTCGAACGTATGTCTCGTCCTGTAAGTGATGTCAATATGTTATTTTACACCTATGGTGGTAAATACAAGTGTGTCTTTTGAACATATAGTCTGCACAATTTTTTCAACACCTATTCAATTAATTATTGGGTCGAATCTACTGAAACCGAGTCATCTCGAAAAATTTACCTAATTGATAATCAAAACCTGCAGTTACAAATTCTCTCATAAAACATTCGACTCTGAACGATGCTCGTATATATTTTCATTTCGCGAATCATCCATTGTTGACCGCCTCCAAACCAAAAACTCAAGGCTCTCTGTCCCCAGTCGCACAAAATAATTACCTGCACGTCGGCCTTTTTCGAAGCCGACTCTATCTGATTCAGATACTTTTCTATGCTATGCCCGCTCTGAGGTGGCAGCGGTTGATCGGCCGGAGTGGCTGCGAACTTGCCCAGATTACCGTTACCAATACCATTAAATTCTGGCTGGTGCTTCATGCGCAAATCAACGACGTCTGGATTCGGCATGGTCGCAGCTAAATTTGTCTCGTTATTCATGAGAGCATTGGCGCCCCTATTGATGTGGTGAGGACTCAAAACTTTCACCTATATACAAGAGACACAATTCGAGTTATGAGAAAAGCGGTTGAAAAGCATCCCTGTTTACGTTAATTTTCCCGTGTATAACCAAATGAATGTGTGTGTGCATGCATATGTATGGTTATAGAAGTGTACTGATATATCCGACAAAGCGTTTACCTGAGGTGACTCATGCAAGTTGGCGAACGGGGTCTGCTGCTGCACCAAGCCGATCGAATGAGAGTTTCTCATGAGACCGACGACGCTCAGCAGCGGATCCTGCACCTGGACCTGTATGTTGGTGGGCACGACGGGGCCGCTGGGAGCGCCCATCATTCCAGCCGCTGCCGCGGCCACCGCGGCGGCGGTCACCGCTGTCTGGGCGGTGTCGCGCGCGTTGTCGTTGACGAGGTGCTCCAGGGGGCTGCCCGCGATGCTCACCGGCACCGACAGGCCGCTCATGCTGTTCTCGTTGATCAGGCTGCTCGAGCTGCTCTCGTCCAGCACCTCCGTTTTCATATTGTCGGGCAGTATGAGCTGCATGCTCGAGGAGGCGCGCCTGCCCAGCATCGCGTTGGTAGCGGCGGACATGCTCTGCGGCGGTGGCAGCATCATGAGGTCGCTCGAGGCCTGCTGGGCCGCGCTCGTGTTCTCGTCGCTCCAAATCATGCAGGAGCGGCCCGAGTCGTTGTTGTTGGCCGTTGACACGGCTCCCGAAGCCGACGACGGCGAGCCAGTGTCGTTCTTGTGAATGTCGTTCGATGCTCCCGGCGAAACCTGTGATTGGAGCGGCGACGTTTGTAGACTGCTTAGGAAGGGCACAGGTGCATCTGCATAAACGGTAAATAATTCATAAATACGAATTCGAAAAAAAGTCCATTATAGCGTGTTTGTACGTACTGTTTGGTGAAATCGAGTTTGGCACGACCGAGACGAGATCGGCCGAAGTGATGGAGTCGGAGGCAGCTAACGCCGACAGACCGACGTTGTCGGGCTTGCCGATCGTTGGGATGGCGGGCGTACCCGCAGCGGTGTACACGAACGAGTGCGCCTCGCTGATCTTGCCAGAGGACTGCGTGTACATCTTGACGGTGACCTGCTCGCCGTCGGCCAAATCGTGACGCCTGTAGGGCGGCACGACGCACACCAAGTGCGTCTGCTGGAGGAACTCCTTGTCCGGCTGGACGGTGCACTCCCAGGTGGGATCGCGGGGCGTGCTGTCCTCCGGGCTCAGCTTAAAGATGACTTTGGTGTCCTTGAGGAAGTTCTTGCCGAGTATGAAGAGCTCGACGCCGCCGGTGCACGGGCAGGAGGTGAGGGACTTCTTGCAGATCTCCGGTATGCCCGGTGGTTGAGCTGCGAACGAGCAGATACGAATGAAAAAAAATGATTCGAGTTTGGTATGCGCGCGAGAAAGCTAGAAAACTCACTGCAAACGATCGGCAGGGAGCAGGCTTGGAGGGTCTCGGTCTTGCCGTCGTCGGTGGTTATGGTCGTGCGGAATATCATGCGACACTTGGTGGACTTCTTCTTGCTGCGGCCGGGCGAGAGCTCGCTGCCGAAGCGCAGCTCCACGTCGACGTTGCGCTCCTTGAGTATGCCCACGCAGTCGCAGGTAACCGTCATCTGCTTCTCGGGCTCCATGTCGATCTCGATCACGGCCGTGCCGCCGACCTTGAGCTCGTTGCAGGGCGTCGAGTTTTTCCCGCTCACTCGGCAGGCCTGATAGAACATGTGTGGGGCCACCTTACCCATGTCGGTGCCAATGAAGACCTGAAAAAGAGAGAAATCGGTTCGATACAGTCGTTCGGAGAAGAGCTATGTATAGGTAATTAGAGCTTACTTGTAGTTTAGTTGGTTTGTTGTAACCTTCGAGTTTCACAACGGGGAATCCATTGCCGCTTCGATCTTTCACCGCTCCTCTCGATCCCTCGGTCTGGTAGCGGGCTCGATGCTGATTTTCCGGCTGACAGACGATGTTCAATACAACTTTGCCATCGCTTGATATCGCTTCTGTTAAATGCAAGAATGAAAATCAATCAGAGAAACGTAATTATAAAATTCACGATCTACTTTGTTATTATTGTTAAAAGCGACAATTATGCAAACCTCGACTGATCGGTGGCGGTCTCGGGCTCTGTGTTACATTGGCACCCCTGGGCGAGGAGGCCATTCTGCCGTTGGGGGTGATGCGGCCGTTAGCCGCCTGCTGTTGCTGCTGCTGCTGCTGTTGGCCGGCGTTGCTCCTCATCGAGGGGCTGCCGTTGGTCGCCTCGGGGAAGGCGAAGTTCGCGTCCTCGGACTCGAGCTTGATGTCCATTTTGCGCCTCTTGGTGTCGTCCTCGGCAATATTGTTGTTCCAGGCCTGCAACAACAGTGGCGAAGGTTGATTGTGTGACCTCCTCTGTACGGAGAATAACAAATTGACGAATCGACGTCTTCATTATAAATTGTATAGGATTTACGAGGCCAAGACGAGAGCTATGCACGACGAGACTTCGTTTTTACTTTTTGTTTTGCGAGGATGTTGCGAGGTAGCTGCGGTGATCGCGAGACCATACTACAATCATCGCGATGCGTACTTCGATCGGTTAATGCGTAAACAATAAATAATTTCGAACGGTCAGACGGATAGCGCGAAGAAGCGCTACCAATAATTCGTCGGCAAATAAATACAAAGAGCGCAGCAGAAGCAGACGCGCGCGTGCGCGATTCCGGCTATATAATCATTGATACGCGCACTCTGCGTGCCGTACACGATACGTCTTTCTCTGTTGACAATTGGCTCGGATTGGATTGGATATACGTATAATGTGTAACAACAACACGACGATAGTAATAATAATAAAAAATGATAATAATCATAATGGTAATTTGTGTGTCACAGTGGGGAAAGCTCGAATGAACGATTTGCGTATCGTATATGCGGGTTCAACTATATAATCGGCGTCGTCGTCGTCTTCGTCGTCGTCTGCTGCTGCTGCTGCTGCTGCTGACAACAAGATCGAAGCGTTCCAATAATATAAATGCGTTGTATTACGATCTTGAAATACGTAAAGTAATTCGCGTCGCTTCGTCGATCTTCTCGGAATTGAAAAATAAAAAACCGAATGCGGGTCACACACTTAAGCACACACTCGTATTGAACAATTTTTCTCTCTCCAACTTCTCAACCGATTCGTTAAATAGCTCCATATAATATATTACGCGCTGGGCCCACAATTCAATGGACTCGTAAGAGCGTCATAAATATTGCAGGTAATAAATAGACCTCCTAGGATAATTAACAAAAGGATGATCTCTCTGTCCGTGCAGCACAAACGCACTCGAACACACGCGTACACCTGTTTATACCCGGCAACGTGTATCACTTTGTACATCTATCGACGCACACCGAAGCTGTCTTGGCTGTATGTGCATCGATCGATCGTAAATAAAGAAAAGATTATTGTTACCATGATAGCTTGTGTGTTTGATAGCGAATTATGAACAATGCTAAAAATATCCTTTACGATTGGCACGTCCGAATGTATACTTGATGAGCTGCACGGCACGAGGGTCGGGTCGGGCAGCGGAACGGAGAGAAGAAGTCGTCCTGAACACGATCCATAGATCAACTCGTTGGACACACTGGGCGCGGGGCCGCCTATCGACTAAATAGATGCACGACGACGATCCTCTTCGATCGTAGAACTACGAAAGAGCTATGGTCACAAACGCGAATGGATTTATAGCCTAATTGATTTTCCTCATGCTGTATAATTATTACGCACAGGCCGCTACACTCGGTGACGTCCCGTCTTTATACAGAGATATGCATGTATAATGATGATGATGGCTTTGTCGATCGCTCATTAGGCTTAATGCATTTTGAGATATGAAAGTCGATCTATCAGCATTTGACACTGCGCGCGCTGTACTGCTGCTGCTGCTCCGCTGACTTTCTGCTTTGGCCTACGATAATTGTGCCGGTTAATGGTTAAAATTAAATGTACACGCAATGGATTCGAGATAACGAATGAAAATACGGCCAGGTATATAGTGGTGGAGGTAGCGGGCGGCGGGCGGCGCACGAGTAGGCTGGTTTGTAATTTTCTTGAGAATTTTCGAAACAGACGCGTCACAGCACTTTTTTATGGCAATTAACATAAATCAGCGATTATGCTGCCCTCGGCATGCTGCCGCATTCTTCTCTCGACGACACTTGGACTCTTATTTCGGTCATGTTTGACGACCAGTCGAAGACTTTTGACTAGATACGACACTCGCACCCACACGCACACATTATTATACACAAGACACGCAAACTCATCACTGTATAACATATAATTATTATATCATATAAGAAAAGGCGCGTACGACGGAAGCGGGTTACGCTCGAATGTGTTCACATAATATTAAACGTTAAACGAGCCACGTACCGATGAGCAGCAGCCTATATTAATCGCCAAGCAGCCGAGTGCAGAAATTTGATTTCGGCATTCTCGAACTCGTAAGCAATATCAACATTGGGCACGCACGCGCGCGCGCACACACGATATCTCTCTCTTTTTCTCTCTCCGAATTCGAAGCTCTCTTTATGCTCTGCGCTCCGGTTTCCGACTGCGTTAGCCGTCGTCGTCGTCGTTGTCGTTTAGTCGTTGTCGCTCGGGACCTATACGGCGAATCCGCGTGTACACATTATACACGCACCAGTTTATGTACGTATGCCTACTACTCTTCATGCGTTTGACATATATAAAAAGAAGCAAAAAAAAAGAAAAAAAAGAAGAGAATTGAAAGATATCTTATCAATTATCAGTGCCTCGGAACGATTTTATTGGGCTTTCCGTTGAATAAATTCGTGTCTCTTTGTACAGGCGCACTCGAGAATCTCGCTGCTGTCGTGTTGCGCGGCCTGGCCCACCGTGTACCTACTTGAGATTTTCTCGCGAGACAACGATCGAACGATGTTCGCCGACATATCGACTCTTTCTCCGGACATATGCACGCATCAACCAACTCATTATGCAGTCAGAAGAGAAAAATGAATCAAATACCGATCGAACGCGGCCCGGCGTTACATGGAGCGAGAGTCGTTATCGCGATCTTGTGTATTCTATGTATGTATGTAATATGCTCGTGTGCTCCCATTCACGCTTTCACTCTTCTTGTAATTTCTTATCGCTCCGTAGTTTTCGAGTAGTGTGAGTGTATGTCTGTGTATGTGAAGTCGTTGCCACATTGCAGTCGTGCGTATACATATGTATTATAACGCTCTTTGCGCTCCGAACGCGTGTGCACATATACATTTAAACGCACACACATAGATAATTCTGAAGGTAAAATGAATTGCACCAAGGCAAACGAGTGCGTGATATATACCGACGTCGAGATACACACACACACACACATAAATACAAACTTACCGCGGTCTTATTGAGATGCTGCTGTTGTCGCTCCTCGAAGCCGAGGCCCGAGTCGTTCGAGTTGTCGCAGAGGTCCTGACTGCTCGCCGTCCTCGGTCCAAGTTGTTGCTGTTGTTGTTGTTGTTGTTGCTGCTGCTGTTGCTGTTGCTGTTGCTGCTGTTGTTGTTGCTGTTCATCCGAAGCCCTTCGATTCGTGACACCGCCAGTGGCTCCGGAGGCCGATATTCCGTTATTACCTGCTGCCGATACTGCTACCGCTGCTGCTACCGCCGCCGCTGCTGCGGCTGCACCACCACCTCCACCAGCGGCACTGCTCAAACTCGTGCCCGTCGACACTAATCTCGTTTGGCTCTTGTGTTGCCGGTGATGCGTCGATGCTGCTGTGGCTTGTTGTTGTTGTTGCTGTTGCTGCTGTTGCAGTTGTTGCGATAATCTGCTGCGGGTGTTTACTGTATAATTCGAACTGTTGTTGCTCGCGCCGTTGTTGTTGTTGCCGTTGCAATTGTTGCTGTTGTTGTGATTGTTGTTGTCATTGGGTCGGGACGAGCCGCCGACGCGTGGACCGCTGCTGTTGCTCCTGAGTGTGGCGCCGTGATGGGACGAAGACACGATACCTGCCAACGTTACCGCCGCACTCGCACTCGATCGGCTACCTGCTCGTGTACAAAACAAAAAGAACACATTATAATATGTAACGATAAACAAATGCAACAAAATATTGTTATCGAGTACATCGAGTCGAAATGCGGGTAAAAAAGGAGAAAAAGTTCAAATATGTGTTATCTCGTCTCGAAGAAAATGTAAAATAATAACATTCACTTTTCCTCTCGACGAAATCGAGAAAGACACGCGATCGCAGCCCCGAGTGTAGTATACTCTTTATACATGTATATAACTTGTATCCGTATATGTGTTAATATTACATACACTGGTATGTGTGTTTGTTTTTTCATTACGAAGAAGCCATTAATTAATCTCAAATCGCGCATCATTGTAATCGTAATATCGCTAGATAGGGATTTTTTGTTTCCTTGTTATTTTTGTTATCGAATCATTGAAAAACTAATTTCTTAATTTACACGCACACCTACACGGGAGTCATTTGATGTTATTATACACACGACGAAGTAATGAGAGCATTTGAGGGGGGTCAATATTGGGCGCACGCGTATATATCAAAGCACGTTTGTACGTGTTTCAGCTTTTTTTAATCCGAATCGTAATTAATTCGAACTGCACAGGCACACGACACACACACAAAATTACGAGAAACAAACGAGTGATTAGATAAATTGGATAACATGTATATTATGAGGTATTATAAAAGAAAACGAAAGTAATTGGATGCAGAGGCGGTATCTGAGATGAAGGAAGTATCACTCGAAGAAAGTTGTGTACACAATGCATTCGTGGATGATCGAATATTACAGGAGGATATCTCTTTTATTCAGCTTACAGGGGTATAACTTACTTATGGGATCGTAACGATAAGACGGGAACACGCACATGTTAATGTATGTAATATTTAATAGGTATATATAATACCTATTAGGTATAATTACAACGAGACTCGATAGGAGCGAGCAACTTCGGCTTGTGACTTAATACGACCGAGTCTACCGAACTATTGAGCCGATCATCGAATTTTATGCGGTTTTAAGTAACAAAAAGCCGGCTTATACCGAGTACATATGTGCTTTTGACACAACTTTTATCCAAGAGCATTTTTGGCACCATATACAAATCTGCCAAATCATCATATAGACAATAAAACCAAAGTAACTAATAAAATAAAAAGTTGGAGACATAAGCCAACTAAAACTATGGTACGATACTCTGTGTGTGTGTTGATTGTGTATCGCACTTGAGTTTATACAGCTTGTTGTAAACAGAAAAGAAACAAACAAAAAAAAAAGAAGAAGAATAAGAAAAGAAAAAGAATGAGAAGAAAATAATAGTGAATATGCGTGTATATGATATAGCACATAGCACGAGACATAAATGGCTTTACGATGCTAGATACATGTACACTATATACGCTCACATACAAATTGCTCGGGCTAACTGATTAGAAATAGATATCACGTGCCCGCCACCCGACGCTACTCACATACACACACAGATACATTCACTAAGAGCAAACACTCGTTAACAGACCGATTCTTACATAATTTGTGTATACGGCAGCGACTCACGCTCGAGAATTGTGATGCGCGCACTCGAAGAAAAGCGACTATAGCCGAGTATTACTTATATCCAGCTCGATTAGCCGATCTGCGAAGTATACATGTGTATAATACACGTTTTATTCGAACTATACCGTATGAATGCAAAAACCAACGGTGGATTCGATCGCTGAACTTCACACATGAATTAATAAATAACAAAAAAAATTATATGTGCCAAGCGAAGTAAACAAGCGAAGTAAATAAAAAATTACACAAATGGGGGATGGCGGGGGGTATAGAAAAATTTCGTCTCGCTATATACTGCCCGACGACTGAATCATACTTCTTCATTGCTCTCTCTGTCTCCCTCTCTCTCTCTCTCTCTCTCTCTCTCTCTTTCTATGACGTCTTGAGGTTCAAGGTCCTCCGTAAGGTCATTCTGACTCGCAAAAAAAAAATGAATACATATAACGACGAACGCACACACGAGCTATTAAACGGTTCGACGAGTGTTATGTGCGACCAGAGAGAGAGGGAAAAAGAAAAGAAGATCTATGCGCTGTCCTCCTCCTTCTCCTCCTGGCATGTGCGTGTGCGAATGAGTGTGTGTGTGTTTATATGGATTTCGCGACATTTTTCGCAAAAGAGAATAAGACATTATTTTTAGATGTTCTTCCCCCCGTGCGAGCGCACCTACACAACTCCATTCTTCGGACGTTGTATCGTTTTTTACTTGTCTTTCTCGAGTATATGTAATACAAATATGCCTGTTTTCATTTGCTTGGACGCGTGTGTGTCTTGCTCTCTATATCTTTTTGCCGAGAGTGTGTCGCATACTATACACGCGCGCAGTTTTGACCGAGCTTTTTTTATCTTCTCCTCTTCTCTCTCTCTCTATCCACTGTCATCCGGAGGAATATCGTCTGTAAACGAAGGTGCTAATCGAAATTAGCCCGAAGCTCCAATAAAAACAGCGTCGTCGTCGGTCACAGATCGAATATCTGTTTATACGCCGCGTTTATGCACTTTATAAGCGAGTTTATCGTAATAATTTAGACGAGGAAAACAAAAAACACAGTTGTATCGACGCGCGCGTGCGTTATTATAGGTGTCTGTGCTCGACGATGGATTTCGAGGAGACCGGTCTTGATGCTCAAGTCAATGACTCACAACAGCGCCGAAAAAATAAAATCATATTATAATACATTTCGCGCGTGTCTGGGTGAGTGCTTTTTGAATTTATTAAACTTGCGAGGATGATCGATGCCGCCACGATGACATTACTCTCGTGCGTATAGTCGCGCGCATAATAAAGGATTTCGATCTATACGTCGTGTGCCTCTGTCTGATAATAGAACGCATATATTTTTATAATCACGCGAAAACGTGATTTTTGTATTTTGCCCTGCTGACGCGTCCACGTTTTCTCTTTTAGGCTGCATATATAATGCGACGAGTAATACGATTCTCAAACTCAAAGCATATTGATTCGCATTGAAAATTTTTTTTGATATTTTGATGCGAGTGCCGCGAGAAGAGGCGTACATTTGCATATAAAATTCAATGAAACGCATATACACGTGCATATACGCGTATGCCAATGAATTAAACGAGCTAGATCAGAGCTCAGCCAGAAAAAGAGAAGCACGCAGCTATATATAATAGAAACGATGAAAAGACGAGTGCAGCAGAGCTCGGCGCGAGCTTCTTCGTTCGTGCATTAAGCTCAAATCGTGTGCATGCCCGCGTGTGCGCGCATGCACAGCACTGCTGCACTTATTTGTTATGCCAACGAAAATATTAAATGGAATTAAACCGGAAAGCATAAAATTGACAGAATGGTAATAAGCGTGCGTGCACACCGACTCTGCTCTGCCCCCCCTTCTCGTCCCTGTATAAAACTGGCACAGTTGAAAAACGAAAACTATTTACTCTTCTTCTCTCGCGATCTCTCGCTCGCGCGCGCGCCATCCGTTGCAAAACGTCAATATACATTATAAGGTAGGTATATACGTATATCCAAGAAATTCGCGCGTCCGGACGGCCTCGGGTATTGGTTTATTTCGCGTGCATGCAGCTTCTTTCACCCAGCGGCAAAAAGGTGTGAGCCGAGCTTTTTTGATGCAGAAAGCTCGGTCTTGGCTTCGGCGAAAAAAAAGAATAAATATATATATTTATATACTCGTTCGGATCCGTCCAGTAAATAGCTGCGCGAAGACCAAACGCGCGCGCACGAAGCGCAGAGTTCGAATGCATTATAACTGCGCACAGAAAAACGTGTCAAGGATCGACGGTACCTCGATCAGTGCTCGCCATTTGACTGATTTTATAAGATTGTTAAACAAAACACGGAGCGATTGGTGCGAACACTTGACAGAATCGACGACGACGACCAAGCACAATAGTGTATATGGAGGCTAAGTATGAGTGTGTGCATGTGTGTGAAATCGCGCGAGCGATATATTTGCGGGACTGTTAGCCTATTAGATAGGGCAAGATACCTAAGCGAGAACATACAGAATAGCGTTAGGCAATGTATGTTCTTTTATAGCTGACAAAAGCTTTTGCTTCGCGCCGATTATCTTTAGATAAATGTAATTACATATGTACGTACAGCGCAACTTGCGCCCAAAAAGACAAGTAGAAAAAGTATAAAAGCGCGAAAAAAGCTCGATCGCGTTCGGACTCAAAAATATGCTACGGTAAAATCGTACCGATAATTTCACGCCCGGTTACATATGCGTGCTGTAGCTGACCAAGCTTCTAAGGACGGTTTTTAGAGCTGCTCACGACAGGCCGGTATTATAATGATAATAGCTGCAATGCGGCAGACATTTATTATATATATGCAGCAGTAGCAGCAGACAAACCAAACAAACATAATAAACGGACGTCAAGCGCAAAGCAGCAGAAAGCTCGCTTCATTTGATTTGCCAAGGAAAATTACCGGCGTCGATGTCAACGACCGTACGCATGCCAAAGTCATCTTCTCTCTTTCTTTTTTAGCCGCTTGCGCGCAATGAGGCCTCGACGACGACGACGACGACTACGACGACGATGCGTGTCCGTGTCCAAGTGTGTGCGTATATTTATAACGCACACACGCAATCGCCATTATATATAAACGTGAGTTCAGTGCATCCGCGCGCGAGTCTGGGGCCCGACACTTTGCGCGCTTCTGTATAGCGGCTCTCGTGCATGCATTCTCTCTTTTTCGGGCTCTTGTTTTCTTTCTCATTTGGTTCGTCGCGTTTGCGCAATATGTGCGTGACCGTATAGATGTAGATATATACGACGCCGAGCTCCGACGTAACGCGTGAACTTGAAAAAAAAAAAGAAATAAAGAGAGAAAGAAAGAAAGAAAATGTATTCCAACTTCGACGCGAGCGGAGCTTGCGGAATTTATTCAGAACACTTGTTCCACACACCGAGCGCCACATGTATATAAATATATGAAAATATGTATATTTTATACGTGTGAGCGA